TCTAACTTTCTAATCAATCTGATTTCCCTTTTGTTTACAACTATGCAGTCCAGAAAACTGAAGTGTCTTTACTGGGGGGGAAAAAAACTCAGCAGATCTGGCAATATATGTGGGAAAGGGTTAACATTTTTTGAGTTCAATTACTGCTCTTCAGTTCCTCAGTTCTAAAGAAGAGTCAAAAACAAAGTTTCTGGAAAAGCTCAGCAAGTCTGGCAGTAACAGAGTTAATGTTTCAGGTCCGGTGACCCTTCCTCAGAACTGATGGTGGCTGGGCAAACGTCGGTTTATATGCAGAAAATAGGGAGGTGGGTGGGGTAGGGAGTAAATGATAGTTTAGAGCCTTAAGAAATCTTAAGGGGAGACCACTACATTGGGGAAACAAAGCGTAGACTGGGTGACCGCTTCGCAGAACATTTACGTTCTACTTGCAAAAATGACCCTGAACTACCCGTTGCCTGCCACTTTAACACATCACCCTGTTCCCTGGCCAACATCTCTGTCTCTGGCTTGCTGCAATGTTCCAGCGAAGCTCAATGCAAGCTGGAATAACGACACCTCATTTTCCGCTTGGAGACCTTGCAGCCCTCTGGACTCAATATTGAGTTCAATAATTTTAGCGCCTAATTCTCCCATGTCCCAGCCCCCTACCCCACACACCAGGCCTTGTTATCACATAGCCTGTCATACACTAGCTGTTGTTAGTCACTAATAGTCCCCACTAACAACTATTCACCGTCCCAGCCTAATCGTTATCAATTCTTTTGTCTGTCCAACTGTCTTCCTCTCTTAAGGCTCTATCCTATCATTTATTCCCTACCCCATCCACCTCCCTATTTTCTGCATATAAACTGACGTTTTCCCAGCCACCATCAGTTCTGAGGAAGGGTCACTGGACCTGAAACATTAACTCTGTTTTTTCCTTCACAGATGCTGCCAGACTTGCTGAGCTTTTCCAGCAACTTTGTTTTTGTTCCTGATTTACAGCATCTGCAGTTCTTTCGGTTTCCAAAGAAGAGTCATTGAACTTGAAAACCTAGCTCTGAATCTCTCTTCACAGATGCCGCTAGATTTGCTGAGTTTTTCCAACACAGTTTTTATTTCAGATCTCCAGCTTCTGCAGTATTTTGCTTTGATGACTGAAGATGACACTTCCTTCTTGAACAAAAGTTTACCTACTGAGTTTTCACAATGTCAGCGCTTCCCTGAAGTAAATTAACTTAAATTTGACATTTAACTGAGTCGTGGCATTGAACACATTTCCCAAAACCCTATAACATCAGTGCTTCAGATGTCAGCTGTAGCTTAGTGATAGCTAAGTTGCCTCAATGTCAGAAAGTTGTGTGTTCAGCCCTCACTGTGGAGACATTGGCATTTCTAGTCTAGTACTGGAAGGAAGTCTCCGTTGTTGGAGATGCTGTCTTTTGGTTGAGATTTCACACCAAGGGCCTCATCTCTCTGAGAAAAAAAAAAGTTATCTCATTGCTGTTTTTGAGGCTTTTCTGTGTACAAATTGGTTACCAAGTTTCCTACAATATGGTATACATTACATTATACTGACTACAATTCAATAACAGTTCATTAGCTGTAAAGTGCTTTTGAATGTCAGGAGATCATAAAAAGTGTTGTACAAATGTGAGTTTTTTAACACTGCAGTGCCATTAAATCTTCACTAAAATCAGAGCCCTTATAAGCTTATAATGATCAACTTTTTTTACTTAAATAATGCATTTCCAACAGACTGCCTGTACAGCGAACATAGATATTAAATCATTCGATCTATTTGGATCCTAGGTCCGGCACTTTGAAAGTCCTTATTTGGTATACCATGAGAAGGTGAAAACCAGCAGAGTTTTCCTGCGAGACTGCAGCATGGTTTCTGTCTACCCCCTGGTGCTGTTTGGGGGTGGCCAGGTCAGTGTGGAACTTGAGAGAGGGCAGTTCATCATCTGTCTCGACGATGGATGGATTCGATTTGCTGCAGCTTCTCCTCAGGTATAGGGCTGTTTTCTTCTGTTGGTTGAGGGTAATTTGTTTATTTCTTTGAAACAATCATTCTGTGATTGAAATTGAACACAGTTCCACCAACAATAACTCAATCTGCAAGTCACTGCAGGCTGTAAACCTGGTCTGTATAAATAGGAAGACCCTGCATTCCATCATTGTTTATGCTAAAGTAGCTGACTCAGCTGGCTAGGGTGTTAACTTTTGGGACATTAAAACTGTCATCGTTGCTTTTAGAGTAGAAAGGGGAAGTTGTGGTCCTATCCATAACCTGGAAAGTACACTGGGTGAGAACAGAAGTGAGATTGGTAATACTAACTGTCTAATAGTCTGTCGGCAAGCACTGATGCCCACATCTGGACGATGTTCGCTTATGGCAGACACAAAAAACCACTTGGCCATAGAACTGTACTGCAGCAAAAGTCAGCTAACTTTTGAGATAATGCAAGTTAGAGAAAAAATAAATTGACAAGTGAGATTATCACTTGTGACACGTTTGACCAACAGCTATCACTGAAGTGAACCTCAATTTGATCTCAGTGCTAATCTGCTGTTTCTGAATTGTTCAACCTAACTTTGAGTCAAAGCAGAAGAATCGAGAAGCATCTAGATTTCACCTTTCAGAACACTTCCCCCCCCACCGCCCCTCAAAGCAAAGGGTGCAGATAGATGTCCTACTAAGAGTTCTCTACCTTGATGCAGTATTATCTGTGAATAACCAAGATGGGCGCCCTCCTTTTCACCCTTCTCTGTGGGTTTTGTACCTGAGGCTGTTTGAATTTAGCTAAACACAGGGAAGTATTCTCTGTCTGCAGAACAAATCCAGTTCCTGTGTTGGGACGAATAGCCGTACTCTTCTTATGCCACACATTGTATTGTGTAGGATAGCAGTGTTTTCCTGCTGGCCATCACTTTCCTTTGCAGCCAATTTACTAAGTTCTGTAGCTGTTTATTGTCCATCCAGCTGCAAAGCATACAAATGTGGGCTACAGGCTGATGTATTCTGGTCTGTTTCTAACTCAATTGCTCCTTTCAGAATCTCTTTAGAAAACCTATCAAGGACACATATTTGTGTTTTCCATCACACATTTCTCCAATTACCAGTGCAGCTTCCAGTACCAATGCTTCTATCTTTTCTGATGAACCATCAGTTGCATTCTAGAATATTCTAATGGCATTGTAACTCTCTGTTTTACTTGAGAATTACTCAACACCTGTTTAACTACAATCTACGACTACTATTTCTTAGCTTCATAAATTTAAAGCACTTAAACTTCAACTTCTGATTTGCCCCACATCTGACAACGCTGCTAGATTTTGCGGGTTAATTAGTTCCTACTTGCACTGTGGTGTAGTGGCAGTTGTAATTTGTTAATTTGGCTGTTTCCTCCTCCAAGTTTCCCATTAAGTTCTCTCTCATTTTCATCAGTATCAATGCCTACCACAGCCACTGACTTGCTGTTTCTTTCCTTTTTTATTTTGTTAGATACTTTCATTAATCAGTCTGCATAAATGCAAATACAAACTGGCGAAGATCATTATCCTCCTTTTGTCCTTCTTCTGACTCGTACACCAAATGTTTTTGTTCTCCGTGGGTTCCCTGTGGGTTTCTTCTACACCTTTGTAATTATTTTCAGTTGTTGTTTTGCTATAAACCTTGTGATGGAACCTTTTGACCCCTAATCAAGGTCCATATTGGCCCCTCTCTCCTCCTTTCCTGACTGCATTTAAATTTCCTTGTACACAATGGATGCATCACCAGCCTGATCCCCTAGTTTCTCACCTCTGTGCAAATTCTACCAACGTGGGTTTAGCTCAGATATGATCCTTGTACAAATTCTACCACCCGCCACCTGTGGCAAGGCCTACACAACGTAACGGGATACAAAATGAAGCAGAGCAAGATAGCAAAAACATATTCCTCCCTGATGCACTCAATGCTTTCTGTGCTCGGTTTGAGTACGATACCAGCGGCACAGTGTCACCTGCCCCGATGCGCCTGTTCCCTCCATCACCACTTCAGACTTCAGATCAGCCTTCCTGAGAATAAATCCAAGGAAAGCAACTGGCCCAGGCAGAGTCCTGGGCCGTGCACTTTGATCCTGTGCAGACCAGCTGGCGGAGGTATTCCCTAACATCTTCAACCTCTCCCTACTACAAGCTGAAGTCCCCACCTGCTTCAAGAAGACCACCATCATCCTGGTATCAAAGAATGCACATGCAATATGCCTAATGACTACTGCCCAGTGGCTCTGACCTCCATAATCATGAAGTGCTTTGAGGGGCAGGCCATGGCCCACATCAACTCTAGCCGCCTAGCCTGCCTCGATGCCCTGCAATTTGCCTACCGATGAAACAGGTCCACAGCGGACACCATTTCCCTACCCTGCACTCATCCCTGGAACATCTGAGTAATAAGGACACCTACTTCAGACTTCTACTCATCGACTACAGCTCCGCCTTCAACGCCATAATCTCCTCCAGACTAATCTCAAAACTCCGAGACCTAGGTCTTGGCTCCATCCTCTGCAACTGGATCGTCAGAACCCTGACCTGCTGACCGCAATCAGTGAAAATAGACAACTGCGCCTTCTCCATGGTAGCGCTCAACACTGAAGCCCCCTAAGGATGTGTCCTCATCCCCCTACTTTACTCCCTGTACACCCACGACAACGTAGTCAAATTCCGAATGAACACCATCTACAAGTTTGCTGATGACACCACTGTGGTAGGATGGATATGAGACCAACAATGAGTCAGAATACAGGAAGGAGATAGAAAGCTTGGTGTCGTGGTGCAATGATAAACAAGCTCTCTGTCAACGTCTGCAAAACAACTGATCATTGACTTCAAGAAGAAAGGAGGAGGATACGTCCCCATCTACATCAACAGAGCTGAGGTGGAGAGGGTCAAAAGCATCACATTCCTCAAAGGGATGATAACCAACAACCTGTCCTGGACCTCCCACGTAGATGCAACGGTCAAGAAGGCACAATAATGCCTCTTCCTCAGGTGGCTTAGGAAATTCACCATGACCATAAGGACTCTCACCAACTTTTACCGATGCACCACAGAAAGCATACTGTCTGGGTGTATAATGGCCTGGTATGGCAACTGCTCTGCCCAGGACTGTAAGAAACTACAAAAGGTTGTGCACACAGCCCAGATCATCATGGAAGCCAACATCCCATTAGTGGACTCCATTTACACTTCTTGTTGCTGTAGAAAGGCTGCCAACATCATCAAAGACCCCTCCCACCCCGGTAATGCTCTCCTACAAACTCACCTGTCAGGCAGGAGATACAGAAATTTGAACACACGCACCAGCAGGTTCACGAACAGCTTCTTACCTGCTATTATTAGACTGATGAATGCACTGTTTAACTTCAAATCATGTTGATGTTGCTTTGCACACATCCTGTGCAGTTGTTACCTGTATGCCTCGCTCTGTCTAAGCACCCTATGATTTGTATGTCCTTGTTTGCTATGATCTGCCTGTACTGTTTGCAAAGCAAAGCTTTTCCCTGTACTTAGGTACATGTGCCAACAACAAATCAAAAGTGGAATCTTCTATCTTCCTACAAAAATTCTACCAACATGGATCTTGACTCAATTATAATGTCTGAAAATTCTACCAATGCAGGTTTCTTGTCCTCCTGGACGTATTCTATCAATGTGTGTACTCCTTTGCCTTAGCTATAGGTGGTAAATTAACTTTCCTCCAACCTTTGCACAGCACTGCTCTGATGGCTCAAGATGAATATCTTGTTTGTGACGTCAGATGTTGTGGTTACTCCTAATGGCTGACCGCAGAAGCCTTGAGTACAGTCAATTCTAGACCAGATTAGCTAGAATGAAAATTCAGAAATACAGAAAAATCCAGCATCACATTATCCAAAGTCCAGTCTCGTTTTGTAAAAATATAAACACATGTTCATACTCGGTCACATTACTCATCCAGTCAAGGGTTGTTTAATCTTATCCTAGTACTGTTTTGCCCCATTCCTCATCAGTATCTGCCTTTCCTCCTTGTTCCAGAATCCGTTCCGACTCCAAATCTCTTTGGAATGTTTTGTTGCCTCGAGCACTCATGGTACAGTGTTCACCTGGGAATTTGCTTATTGTGAACATAGAAATATCTTTTTAACCCTTGTATCTAACTCACTTATACAGTGTTGTAGGGATAAAGTTCAAAGGGATCTCAGTCTGGATGTTCAATGGATCTGATTAATGCAGAGCAGAAGATTAATAAAGCAGCTAAATTGTGTATGATAATTGAGTCTACACCTTGTATATTGTGTCCATTCTAACCCTAATCATGCAATTAATTTCTCAGTTAGTCCACAACAGAGTCAGAGAAGAAAATAAGGAAATTAGTCTGTGCCAGAGGGCTTTAGGAGTTCAAAACTTACATTTTCCCTCCCAAATGTTGCACTTTCTACTCATCGTGCCCCAACTTACTCTGATACTGAAATCCAAACTTTTATTTTCTGAAATAATTATCTAATTTGTTTTTGAATTAATAATTGTCCTTGTGTCCAATTGCATAAATTTATTACTTTTGCATGAGTAATATTTCTGTAAATTAGTTTTTATAATTCTACATAAGCTCTCACTGTCTCCGCTGTGTCCTACTGTTTTGCACAAGGTGAAATCATTTACCATGATCTGCATTATCCTATCCCGTTGGAATCCTAAAACAAACTTTTGTTCACTTCCTAATCTTCCCTTTTCCAGAAAGAACAGACTCATATGACATGCTAGGAATCTAATCCTTCCATTGCCTCAATTCTGGTTGCTATCTTCCATATCATTTCAACAGCTGCAATATTCATTTGGCTGTAGGAAACAGATCTGTACACAGTATTCCAAGTGTACTTGCACCAATGATTTGTAAAGCGGCAGACTTGCCTCAATTTCACTTCAATAATTGCCAATTAATAATTCCAACACCTAATGACTTTACTCATTGTCATGATTGCTTCAATTTTTAGGGTTCCAGTATCTCCATGCATTTTCTGTATACCTAATTTTTATCTCCATTTAAGTACTTCTATTTGTCTCCTTCCTTGATGTTTTGTCTCCATACGAAGCACTTTGCACTGCTCTGCATCCTAACATCTGCCGCCTGTACATATTAATCCTCTTTTGGCTTATCCTGTGAGATTTGCAATGTACTGTTAGCTTTATATCATCTGCAAATTTAACCATTGTTTGTGAGCTCCAGATCATTAATAAAGATTTTAAGAATAGGTCTTATGAAAAAGGAATCCCTGTAGGACTTCACTGGTAACATTTCCCCATTGTATCATTGCATATTCATTGTAAAATACTTTCATTGATTCCCACTTGCTTTATTTTCAGCACTAGCTTTTCCAGAGAATCTGTGTCAAAAATGTAATCAAAGTACAAATATATTACATGCTACATGCTTCTTTGTTATATTCTCAAGAAAACCAGTAAATTGGAATGGCAAGATTTCTCATTTGTGGATCTATATTGTCTATCATGATGTTACTATGATGCAAATATTTCATGAACTTATCTGTAATAAAAATCTTCATAATTTTATACATACTAATTGTCAAACTCACTGGTTTGTAGTATTCTGGGTCATTTTTGATGTTTTTTTTAATTTGGAGCAACAGGTCTTCCTTGGGGCATCTCTGTTCAGTGATATCTGGAAGATTTGTTCCAGAGTTCCTGCACTTTCCTCCCTTAGATCCTCAAAAATAATCAGTATCATTGACTCAATGTACTGACAGACTTACAAACAGGAACTACAACAGACCTACAAACAGCGAATATTTAATGTGGTTTTCAACTCCACTTCAGCTCGACTGTGGACTACACTGGAATTATAGATAGGAATGGGACAAATTGTATATACATTTGAGCAATTTCGTTCTTTAAATAGACGGCAGTAAAATAAGCTCTTGCATTTAACTTAATGTTATTTATAGATTCAGAGTTCAAATGGACTCTTCAGGTAATGCTGGAAAATAAACTGGTCACTTAAGCTTTTAATATTGTATAGACTTGTTCCAATTGTCCAAAGAGATCAGACATTCTTTTGGATTTTCTTTCCCTTAACTGGCTGGAGATTTTCTGATTTTTCACCCCTTTCAGTAAATTGCATGGCACCCAGTGGCTGGGAAGTGTCTTATCTTGTGATGCACAAGACACACAACTATGTGACAAGGGCTAGATTAAACAGTCTTTTGCTGACACTCATTTTTCCAGGTTCATATGTATGTATGTGTCTATGTAAGTATGCTGTTTTTAACCAGTGTTTCTTCTTCCTCTTGTACTGTGCCCAGATTGCTGAGCTAGTTAAAGAGCTTCGCTGGGAATTAGATCAGCTGCTGGAGGATAAAATTAAGAAACCCAATATGGACTTGTGTACTTGTCCAAGGGGATCGCTCATCATTGACATGATTGTTAAACTTATAACCACTCAGTAAGAACGAAGCTGGGAAAATGTTTTTTGCCAAGGTGACATTCAGATGCCCCGAGAACTTGGAGGAAAAACTGCTCAGCCATTTGCACTATCTTCCCAAACACTGGCAACTGAATTCCGACTTCCTCGTCAGCACTAAGTGAAGATAAAAATGATTGTGAACTGCTTGTTCTAGCTACATTATGTATGCACAAGAATTTGAATCATTGCAACAAGCAAAACCTACTGGTTCTATTAATAAATGATATATTATTGACAACTCAGAACTAAAACAACTTTGTCAAGGAAGTCATATTTTTACTGTTCAACACTATGCACATAGAAAATTGCAGACTTAGTGGATCATCATTATTATACACTTACCAGCCAAAATCTTAACATGAACTTTAAGATGAGGGTTACCAGTTTCACTTCAATAGAATGTAGCTTGTCCTAGAAAAATGCTGAAGTTGTAAATATTTGTTTTGCATAAGGGGTGACCTGCTGGTGCATTTTGAGATTTTGGTTCTTTGAGCTACTCAAAGTATTTGTATCACGTACAGGAGAAATATAAAATGTATGACTTTGTCACACTTTCATCCTTGTGATACAGGATAAATAAATATTTTAAGTAAGAAATAAACATCTGGCAATCTTTATCACTGTAGTAACTAACTTGGTCGAAGTTATTGACGTTTTAAGTGTATTGGAATACAAATGAGTACCATAAATCCTTAATTACAACAGGTATTTACATCAATGTTATTTCTATAAAATTCATCGTTCTCCACCGCCTGCTGCTTTTAAATTTTTATTTAAGGGAGAACAAAGTCACTGCATAGAATGTAATGACCAGATGGCAACTTTCATGGTTCAAACCCAATTTTACAGCTAGAGGTAACTCCAACCGAATATGATTTTTGAGGGGTTATCGTATTGGACGACTGAGAAACCTGGACTAAAGATCTGGTGAAATTCAGAAATGTAAATAATAAATCTGGAATAAAAAGTTAATCTTAGTAATGCTACCATGAAATTGCTAGACTGTTGTAAAATCCCTAGTTCATCATTGTCCTTTAAGGAAGATCTTTCATCGTCACCTGGGTAGGCCCTGCGTGACTCCAGACACACAAATGTATTGGACACTTAAATGGACTAGCAAGCCACTCAGTGGTACTCAAGTAGATAGCTTAACACCACCTTCTTAAGGCCAGTTGGGGATGGATAATAATTGCTGGCCTTGGCAGTGCCTGTGAGTGAATTTTTAAAACAGTCAATCATCATCTAATGACTGGAAAAATGAGGAAAGAATGTGATAAGATTCTTAACATTAAACATAACATGTCACATTTGAGGAGCTCAGCACAGGTATTGGGTTAGAAAGCACTCTCAACCATTGAAGTACTTTCACAATTGTTGTAGCTTAGGGAATGTAGCTCACGGCAAGATTCCAATCTGTTGAATATCTGCTGTAATCGGTAGGTTGAATATTAACTAGAACACCAGGTTAGTACTTCTATTCTTTGAAGTAGTGCCATTGGATCTTTTGCATTCATCTGAGCATGTAGGCATTTAACATCATCTAAAAGATTGCAATTCCTCAAGGAAAAGATGGTTCATCCAACAGTTCAGCAATTTCTCTGTATGGCACTGAAATTTCAGCCTAGATTTTGCAGTCAAGCTCAAACTGACAACTATCTGGAGGTGGGGCTACCGTTCAGCCATGTCTGAAACCAGTTGAAGTAGAGCTTTAAATTTTGCTCAATGTTCACAACAGCAGCTAAGTGGAAAGGATTTGAAAATAAAATAAATGTGAAATTTAAAAATAAAACTTAAAATCTGAAACACGTGTAGCTACGTCCTTTGCTGAATTGAGCTTTCCTCTGAGCAATTCAAGCAGACTCAGGCTTAATGTATTGGCAATTTTCCTCCAGCCCATGCACCAATTCTGTCCTGAATGAAGGTTATTCAATAGGCAGTGGCCCTATGTCTGAATTAAGTGGACTTGGCCGAGCCAAACGCAGTCAATCTTTCACAGGCTGGTATTGTGCGGAGATCACATGATCAACATAACCCTTTCACTCTTGTACTCCAATGATTAAAGCGTGGTACATTATATGCTTTACTACTCTCTCTGCTATTTCTGCTAACTTTCAAAGCTTAAAAAGAAATTGTATGTTAACAAAGGATCACAATTCATAACCACATTTTCAATGTTATTAAGTTTATTGTGACAGTTTAGAAATTGAAATTTTTAAATATTTTATTTGCATTGTATTCTGTCTTTAGTTATAGGCAATAGCTTCATATCCAGGAACACCTTTGACATTGCTGCTGTTGAGATCAATGGTCTGAAGATCTGTTGGTAACAATAATATCACTTATGTTTGTTTAGTCAGGCAGTACAGAATCTGCTAAAGAGCTTGGTGGACCAAGATTGAGTTGGATATAGTGATACATTCAGGTTCAAATGATTAGATTAATGAACAGTTAATTAAAAACATACCTTGTCCAGATAGGGCGCTAAACACCTGTTTTATTACATACTCACAACCCTTTTCCATTGTTCAGTGTTCATAATGGGGCCTTGGCGTGTGGCCACAACAGCTGACCGGACAAAGCATTTGGAGATCTCAAAGGAAGGATTGTGTGGCTCACATTACCCTGTTTGGTCATCCTTCCATCTGACTTTGTTAACCACATGAAAGTATCGTAATACTATTTCATAAATACCCTATGCAGTAGCAGTGATGATGCTGTATGTTTTTTCCAGACCATACCTGGAATGAGATATCCTTAATAGTACACATTAAGATGATCTAGACCATGGGTTGCATATTTTAAAAGAAATTTACCTTTAAATAATTTGAGAATAAAAATTCAACTTCTGGTGACAAGGCTTAAGCATACACAACTGGTATAGCAGCTGCAAAGTATCTATTTTTGATTTTCATTCCGGTGGTTTTGGGCCGGAAGATCCGAGTTCAAGTCACACCAGCCCAAGATGTGTCTGAACAGGTTGATTGATCCTGTGCTTTTTTTAAAAAAGTTCAGATAATTCTGGGAGGAGTTCCTTCATCTCATTAATAGTTCAACCAGAATAATCTTACCATTCTCCTATGTTGCATCTGATTACATATTTACTATTCAAGTCAAGCTCTGTGAAACGAACAGCCTGTATGTTTGGTAATTGACCTCCAGCTACTAGAATCAACCTTCTGGCTTTTTCAGCAGTGTCTGACATATGAACATTTCTCATTTCTTCCTGGCCAACAACAGCTGAATTACACTAACAACATGACCAAAGTCACTGTACAGTTTGGCCAGAGCTAATCTAGACTTGTTACAGAGTTTCAATTGTATATTTCAATGACCACTGTTGTATTGATCAGAACATTGTGTTGGTTGGACATGTTAAAAGTCAAATTGACTAATACTTGGAGCCTTTTGAACTTAGCCAAATGCCTTTTGGATACCCATGTGTTTTCTCAAGTCAGTCAAGGAGTTTGGGCAGGATCCAAATGCTGGTGTGATAGCTGTTTATTAGGTCATTATTGTACAGAATTTTCAATTTTGTCCTAATACAGTACATGAAGGTCAATGTCTGCAGATATACGTAATTACTTTTAATTTTTTTGGCAATAACTATGTTAGACTGTTGCTATAAGGTTTTGGGGTAGATCTATAGCTTGGGTTGTGGGTGTTGAGGTTGGTTGGCTCGCCGAGCTGGTTTGTTCTGCAGACGTTTCGTTACCGTGCTTGGTAACATCCTCAGTACAGCCTCTGATGAAGCATCAGTGTGTTTTCCCGCCTGGTTTTTATACTCTGGGGTCCATTGCGATGGACTGCCTCACTCCCGGGTTTCCTCCGTAGTGGAATGTATACGGGGTCGAGTTCAATGTGTTGAATGGTCTTACGAAAGTACACTGAAAAGCCACACACACAGACCAGGTATTGAACTTCAATAGTAACCATCCCAACACACACAAACGAAGCTGCGTGCAAACACTATTTAAAAGGGCAACAACACACTGCAGCAACATAGAACTACGCCAAGAGGAGGAGGAATACCTCTTCCAAGTGTTCAAGGATAATGGATATCCAAAGAACTGGGTCAGGAGATGCCTACGGGAACAGCATCAGAAAGATTCTACACGCCCTGACACAGTCATCACACTGCCCTACATCAGGAACATGTCAGAACTCACCACAAGACTTCTACGACCGCTGGGCATCAGAGTGGCCCACATCAACCCTACGACAAGTGCTCACCCAAACTAAAGACCCACTCCCTGCCATGGACAGGACCAATGTCATCTGCAAGATCCCCTGCAGAGACTGCGAGAAACACTACATCGGACAAACAGGAAGGAAACTAACAATAAGAGTACGTGAACACCAACTGGCTACAAAAAGACACGACCAATACTCACTCATCTCAATCCACATGGACAAGGAGAACCATGACTTCAACTGGGACAACACCAAGATCCTGGGACAGGCCAGGCAGAGATAAGCACAAGAATTCCTGGAAGCATGGCACTCCACGAAGCATGCTATTAATAAACACATTGAACTCGACCCCGTATACATTCCACTACGGAGGAAACTCGGGAGTGAGGTATTCCATCGCAACGGACCCCAGAGTTTAAAAACCAGGTGGGAAAACACACCAACGCTTCATCAGAGGCTGCACTGAGGATGTTACCAAGCATGGTAACAAAACGTCTGCGGAACAACAAACCAGCTCGGCGAGCCAACCAACCTCAATAGACTGTTGCTAACCTAGTAGTATTTCCCTAGTTTCTGTTGACTCCTTCATGAATCAATATATCCCAAATGTCCTGGATGCTATCAATTCTGTATGGGATTTGTTTTAACCCCTTGCTGCATATCTAAACCTCAACAGATGAATAGAAGTTACGAATTTTGTCTTGAACATCCAAAAAAGATCGTGATCTTCACATATTTTGAGTATAAGTAAATTATTTGGAATATTTAGTATTTTGTACTAGGTCCCAGTTTCAAATTCATTCACATCATTACCTTGATCTTGCAATATTAAATTAATTTGTTACTGTTACGTCTCACTGTTTCTCTGATCAATTTTAACTTTTATGTTTTCATGAAGCCCATCCCCTTTCACCCTGCAGCAATCATAAGATTGTTTCTCTTTTCTCATTTGTAATTTTTTAATAACTCAATATATATGATTATCCTTGTTTGATCTCACTTGATTAAGATTTGTACTTGTCCTGCACCAGAAGCATTATTCCTTCAAAGATATACCATGACAGGGCAGTGAAAACCCTCTTCCAAAATTCACTGGAGGAAAGATTGAGTAAAACAATTTTACATTTAGAGGGGTTATTTCTAAGAAGAACTGGTAGGGCTCAACATTTTAGTCGTCATATTTTACCCTTCATTTGGAGGAATGAAGAAATCAGATGAAAGAGGAAGGTATATAAAGTAGCAGGGAATATGGGACTGATCTTACTGCTGATTGGACAGGCTTATATTTGTAATAGCTTAAGATTCTTGGTGCTGATTATTTGACTGCAGTGACCGATCATAAGCAAGAATAATAACATGTACTGACTATTACGAATATAATCGTTTGATCATTTGGCATTAAGATATCATCCATATTTCAATCCTTCACTACATACACACAAATATAAAAACTACTACTTTCAGCTTTTCCCATCATTCTTCCAAATGATTGGCAGGGCACACTGCTCAATGTTGAGGCCTACCAGTTTGTTTAAGAGATAACCAGGTGTAGAGCTGGATGAACACAGCAGGCCAAGCAGCATCAGAGGAGCAAGAAAGCTGATGTTTTGGGTCTGGACCCTTCTTCAGAAATGGGGGAGGGGAAGGGGATTCTGAAATAAAGTGGGGGGGGAGGGAGGCAGATGGAAGATGTATAAAGGAGCAGATAAGTGGAGAGGAGACGGACAGGTCAAGGAGGCAGGGATGGAGCCAGTAAAGGTGAGTGTAGGTGGGGAGTTAGGGTGGGGGTTGGTCAGTCCAGGGAAGACGGACAGGTCAAGGAGGCAGGGATGAGGCTGGTAGGTAGGAGGTGGGGGTGGGGGTTGAGGTGGGAGGAGTGGATAGGTGGGAGAAAGGACGGACAGGTTAGGGAGGCGGGGACGAGCTGGGCTGGTTTTGGGATGCGATCGGGGGCGGGGAGATTTTGAAGCTTGTGATTTTAGGGCAACAACTGTGCTTTTCAGAGCATACTTTTCCATGATGCAACCATATCATGTAAAATGTTACTAATCTCAATATGAAAGCCTTCAAATAACTATAGGAAGATAAAGGGATGAAATGGGAGGTCACAATTCTGTTATGACCAGGACAGCTTCAGAAATTATACCATTTCATTACCTTCATCACTGAAAATGGATGAAGGTAATACTTTACCTTCGTTGGTTTGTTTTTCTGCAATCTCAGCAGGATTATTGTGGAGATGGAATGATTCTGGAGACATTTAAAAATGGTAGGTGAAACTTGAATGAAATTTGATACCGTTTTTGCTTCCTGGGGAAGGGAAGGTGGCAGGGCATAAATCTCAAAGGCAGGAAACTCAGGCTTAGCTGAGTTAGCTTAGCTATTCTGGGAAGAGTGCTGAATTTAAACAGACTCCATTTTGATTTTTCAAGGGCCTTAACTGCCAGTGTGGAGGTAATGAATTTATGGAGGTGATGTAAAGACTTCTGAAGGGCCAATAAAGCATACAAAATATAAAGAGGCCCTTCAGCCTACCATGTCTATGCTCGCCAAAAAAGTCACTTTCCTATAGGAAGGATATTATTAAACTGGAAAGGACGCAAAATAGTTTCACAAGGGTCCTATTGAGACTGGAGGGTTTGAGTTATAGGGAGAGGTTTGATAGGCTAGGACCGTGTCCCCCTGGTATATAGGAGGCTTATAAAATCACGAGGGGCATAGATAAGGTGAATTGCCAAGGTCTTTTCCCAAGCGTAGGGGAGTCCAAAACTAGAGGGCATAGGTTTAGCGTGAGAGCAGAAATATTTAAAAGGGGCCAGAGGGGCAACTTTTTCACACAGAGGGTGATGCGTATATGGAACAAGGTGCCAGAGGAAGTGGTAGAGGCAGTACAGTTACAACATTTAAAAGACATTTGGACGGGTACATGAATAGGAAAGGTTAAGAGGGGTTTAGAGATGGGACTAGTTCAATTTAGGAAACCTAGTCAGAACAGGCAAGTTAGGCAAAAGGGCCTGTTTCTGTTCTGTATGCCTCTATGACTATATTTTCACTTTGGATAATTTTAAGATATGACCCCTCACACTTTCAAAATGCATTCTTTTCTCCATGGAAACATTGAAAATAAAATATTACAATGCAGGAAACGTATGTATGGTTCTGCCATATATAACACAAACTAGTAGGAACAGCTGCTTGATCACATCCTTTTACTAATAAATTGGATCAGTTAGACACTAGAATGGAAAATGCATACTTACAACAGTATCTTATTTCACAAGATAAATGTACCTGAAAGATCACAGCAGGGTTAGCAGACAATCTCAACATTTGTGACAGTTTCAGTTCTAGTGTTCTCAGAAATGGTACATCAATTTGGATAAGATTAACAAATTTTATTCTACAGACCATCAAAAAAGACACCACCAAATCGTTGTCACGCTAGGGACCTATAATAGAAGTACATCTAATGTTTAACAACGGTGTTGAAAAACAGATGCCGTATTTACAAGAAGAAACATATTTATCAACTTCCCTTTCAATCAGTTTTGTGATCGGCATTTGGGTTACACTTGATGAGGCTTTGAACTCTGGATAGAATAATTTCATTGGAGCTATTGCAGTCTTCTGGATTGTATGGTGGAGATACTGTCAATACCCCAGCCACACATAGCAATTTGTTTTGATCTCCCTGCTCTGTAACAGGAATCCGATTTTTTTCGAGCCACAATTTAAGGCTAGACTTCCTTTGTTCAAGCTCCTCATTGCTGTAGACCTTGGCAGCTACAGGCATAAATAAGGCAGACAGTTTCTCCTTTGTGATGTTTTCTCCTTCACTTATCAGTTCCACTGTCTGAACTGCATGCCCCATAATAGTCACAACGGAAACCTTCCCTGCATCCACAAAGTTGACCAGAACAATGCTGAAAGAAATTAAAGATCACATTAGTTACTGAGGACAACTGAAACTGTCTATGTTTCAGCAGAAAAAACACTGCTTCCCAATAGATAATTGCAGCCAAGTGGGCGCGTTCAATTCTATTCAGCAATTACTTACACCTCAGATGTTCTGACTGGCCTGAGCCGTCACCATCACCTTGCTTTTCTGAGTCAACTCATTGGAAATATGAACATTAAAAACAGCAAATCATATTATCCTTTGAGCTTGCTGCATCATTTAATAATATACCGTTTGCTCATTAACCTTAACTTCACTTTCCTGCCTCCTCTCCATATACCTTGGTTTCCTGAGACCAAATGTCTGTCTATCTCAGCCTTGGACAAATTCAATGATGCAGCATCGACGGCTTAAGAGTCATACAGCTGTACAGCACGGAAACAGATCCTTTGGTCCAACTTGTCCATGCCGACCAGATATCCTAAATTACTCTAGTCCCATTTGCCAGCATTTAGCCCATATCCCTCTAAACCCTTCCTATTCATATACCCATCGAGATGCCTTTTAAATGCTGTAATTGTAGCAGCCTTCAATTCCTCTGGCAGCTCATTCCATACAATCACCACCCTGTGTGAAAATGTTGCCCTTTAGGTCCCTTTTAAATTTTTCCCCTCCCACGTTAAACCTATGCCTTCTAGTTTTGGATTCCACTACCCTGGGGAAAAGACGTTGGCTGTTCACCTTATCTATGCTCCTCGTGATTTTATAAACTTCTATAAGGTCGCCCCTCAGCCTCTGATGTTCCAGGGAAGGTAGAGAACTCTAGACTCAAGAGAAATTTCTCCTTATCGCATTCCTTATTCTGAGATTGTGCCTTCATGTTCTAGATTCTCCAGCAAGGGGAAACCACCCTTCAGGGTCCATCCCATCAAGCCCTTTCAGAATCTTGTGAATCACACGAGATCACCTCTCATTCTTCTAAACTCCAAAGTATACGCCTAATCCACTCAGCCTGGCATCATCTCATTCCATGTCAATCTTGTGAACACTTGCTGCTCACCTTGAATGTAAGTGTATCCTTCCTTAAATATAGAGACCAAAATAGACATACTACTCCAAGCATGGTCTCACCAAAGCCCAGTGCAATTGTAGCAAGGCTCCCTCATTCCTGCACTCCTAATCTCTTGCAATAAAGGCCACATGTCATCTACCTTCCTAATTGCTTGTTCTACCTGCTTGTTAACATAGTGTTCCTTGAATGAGTAATCCAAGTCTCTCTGAACGCTAACATCTACAAGCTTCACATGTAAAAATGTTCTCTGCTTTTCTATTCTTACCACTAAAGTGAATGGTAGATCACTTCTCCACATTACGTTCCTCTACCACCATCGTTGCCTCGTCACTTAAATTGGTCTGTATCTCTTTGCAGCCTCTTTGCGCCCTTCTCTAAACTTGTTTTCCAGCCCTGAATGCTGGAGGTTTTGTGGCATGGTGGTAGTGTCCCTTACCTTTGGACCAGAAGACTGGGGTTCAAGTCCTACCTGCTCCAATGATGTGTCATAACATGTCTGGGGCAGGTTAATTAAAAATATCTATACTCCAGCCCAGGTTTACATCATCAGCAAATGTTTTTCACATTACTGTCTTTTCATTTAAGTCATTAGTATATAATGTTGATAGTTGAGTACATTTCACTATTCTCCTGCCTGCCAACTTGAAAGTGCCCCATTTTTCTCTACTATCTGACTCCTTACTATTGACCATTCTTTTATCCATGCCAATATATTACCTCTAACTTCATGATTTCATTTTGTTGGCACTTAGCGAATGAGTTTTGGAAATGCAAGCATACTACATCTACCGTTTTCCTTCATCTATCTGACTAGTTACATTCTCAAAAACTCTACTAGGTTTATCAATTTCCTTTTCATAATGCCATGCTGATTTTGTCTAATTTTTCTATGTTTTTTAAGTACATTGTTAGAACTTCTGTAACAAAGGATACCCACAGCCCATGAAAAAGTAAATACAAATGTTTACAAAGAACAATACAGCAAAGGAACAGGCTCTTCAGCCCTCCAAACCTGCGCCAACACATTCTGCCCTTCCATACTAAAACCATCTATCTTCACTTATAGGAGCCATATCCTCTTATTCCCTTCCTATTCATGTATTCGTCCTGGTGTTTCTTGTTTAGATTTTTGTCTGGTATGCACAAGTTAACAGTTCTTCACTGCTACTTGCAAGATCATGATTGGAGTGTAATTCTAACAACGATGTCAGAATAACATTCAGCTATATAGCTCCCTTCAGGTAACAAAACATTCCAAAATGCTTCACAGGAATTTTATAAAAGGAAAATTTGACATTTAATCATGTAAGGAGCTATTAGGACAGAATGTTTCAGGGGAAGGAGGAGAGGTTGAGAGAGACAATTTCAGAATTTAGAGCCCTGGCAGCTGAAGGCAAGGCCATTAATTGTGAAACAATTAAAACCAGGAATGCTCAGAAGGCCAAAATTAAATGTTTGCAGATATTGTGAGGCCTCTTCTGGCACAGTGGTAATGTCCCTACCTCTGGGCCCTGGAGGCTCCAGTTCAATTTCCACCTGCTTCAGAGGTATGTAACAGCATCTCTGAACAGGTTACTGGAAAATATCTACTTCAGATGTTATAGATATTGATCTCTAGAGGAGACTAGAGGTAGAGGTGAGCGATTGTTAAATTTGAAAATAAGGATACAAGTTCCAAAAATCAAGGCATTGCATGACCAGGGGTCATGGTAGAAAGCAATGGATTAACAAGACTTGCTGGGAATAAAGAGACGGGCAAAGTTGTGGATGACACAAATTGTCAAAGGATAGAATGTTGAAGTCTGGCAAGGCAAGTTGGACTAGCCAAGTGTTGAGGTAGCAAAAGGTATGGATGAGGGATTTCCACTGACGCGCTGAAGTAAGGAAACAGTCTGGCAATATTACAGAGATGGAATAGACAGGTTAGTGATGACATGGATACGGGGTTGAAAGCTCATCTCGGAGTCAAATGTGACATCAAGACTGCACACAGTCTTGTTCAGTAAAATTATAGGCAATGACTTTGATATTTCCAATATTTAATTGGAGCAAATTTCTGATTTCTTCTGATTAATTCTGATGTCAGTTCAGCAGGTTAAAGGTTCTGCAAAAGTGGAGATGATGGTGAGGCTGAGCTGGGTGTCATCAGTGTACATCTGAAAACAAATGCTGTACATTCAGAATATTTTGCCAAAGAACAGCATGTAGATACGAAATGAGACAGGCCAAAGATAGATTTTTTTTTAAGAGAACAGAAGTATTGTTTCAAGAGTGAAACAGAAGCTGCGATTAGATAGATAAGAATGGAATTGAGTTAAATGGGTCCTACCCAACTTGTTGCCGGTGGAGAGGTATTAAAAGAGAATAGTGTGGGCAATCCTGTCATGGTCTGCAAAACAGGTTGAGGATTAGGATGATGTCATGTGATATTATTTGTGACTTTGGAAAGAGGCATTCTGGCACTGTGGCAGGTGGAAATCAAGACATAATTCCTCCAATCTGGATTTATTGAAAAAGTGGGTACCTCGGGTAGGACAAATGATGTTTGCCAATTTTTGTTCATGGTACAGAACCTGGTAATTCAGGCATATTGGAGATATGGAAAACATAGTGAAGATGTTTCCACTTAAATGGGAGACCAAAATTACAGGCTATAGATAGGATGATCACTCATAAATTCAAAAAGGAATTCTCGAGAGTGGTTAGAACATGGAACCCACTATCACAAGGAGTACTTGATGCAATAATTATAAATATATTTAAGGGGAGCTATAAATATGAAGGAAAAATTACCAAAATGTTATGTTGATAGTTTTAGAAAAAGTAAGGTGGAGTTTCAAGAGATGATATGAGATTTCACTTGCCTTCCAGATACAGGGTCAACAGTAAAGACCCACCCTTGGTATGTATTTTTTTCATCTGCAGTGACTTTCACTTCTTTGTTCAGATATTTTTCCCATTCCAAAGGTTTTTGTGAAATCCATTCATTCATATTCACCGCTTTCCCAATCTATCAAAACACAAAAATATACAAATCACAGAACATTGTACTCTTCATATTATTATGGGAGGTTTTTAATGAACTGTAACATAATTTCTTAAAATAAAATCTGAAAATAGAATAAATTCAACTCAATGGTTATACTCAAAACGCCATGTGCATTAATTTCAAATGACACATCATAAAATTAGGGGCTATAAAAGTGTGTTGAATTTAATATATTTTTCCTCAAATTAAACAGCTTGTCCACTTTTAGACCTGCATAATCCTAAAGAACAAGAGAATAAACTGCAGAAAGAGAAGTCAGTGAGGAAGGTTTATCTACTGAGTCAGTATGGGTGGAAGTCAGAAACAGGAAAGGAGCAGTCACTTTATTGGGAGTTTTCTATAAATCCCACAATGGCAACAGAGACACTGAGGAACAGATTGGGACACAGATTTTGGAAAGGTGCAGAAGTAATAGAGTTGTTGTCATGGGTGACTTCAACTTCCCTAATATCGACTGGAACCTCCTTAGTACAGACAGTTTGGATGGAGCAGTTTTTGTCAAGTGTGTCCAGGAAGGATTCCTGACTCAATATGTAGATAGGCTGACTAGAGGGGAGGCCATATTGGATTTGGTGCTTGGCAACAAACCTGGCCATGTGTCAGATCTCTTGGTGGGAGAGCATTTCGGTGATAGTGATCACAACTCCCTGACCTTTACTATAGTCATGGAGAAGGATGGGAGCAGATGGTATGGGAAAGTATTTAATTGAGGGAGGGGGAATTACAATACTATTAGGCAGGAACTGTGGAGCATAAATCAGGAACAGATATTCTCAGGGAAATACACAACTGAAATGTGGAGGTTGTTTAGGGAGCACTTGCTGCGAGTGCTGGATAGGTTTGTCCCACTGAGGCAAGGAAGGAATGATAAGGTGAAGGAACCTTGGATGACAACACATGTGAAACATCTAGTCAAGAGAAAAAAGGAAGCAAGGATCGGACAGGGCTCTTGAGGGTTACAAGGTAGCCAGGAAGGAACTGAAGAATGGACTTAGAAGAGCTAAAAGGGGGCATGAAAAAGCCTTGGCGGGTAGGATTAAGGAAAAACCCAAGGCGTTCTATACTTATGTGAGGAACAAGAGGCTGGCCAGAATGAGGGTAGGGCCGATCAGAGATAGTGGTGGGAACTTGTGCCTGGAGTCAGAGGTGGTAGGAGAGGTCCTTATTGAATACTTTGCTTCAGTATTCACTAGGGAGAGGGACCTTGTCGTTTGTGACGACAGTGTGAAACACGCTGATATGCTCGAACAGGTTGATGTTAGAAAGGAGGATGTGCTAGAAATTTTGAAAAACATGAGGATAGATAAATCCCCTGGGCCAGATGGGATATACCCAAGGTTACTACGGGAAGAGATTACTGCGCTTTTGGCGATGATCTTTGCATCCTCACTGTCCACTGGAGTAGTACCAGATGATTGGAGGGTGGCAAATGTTATTCCCTTGTTCAAGAAAGGGAATAGGGATGACCCTGGGAATTACAGACCGGTCTGTGGTGGGCAAATTATTGGAGAGGATTCTAAGAGATAGTATTTATGATTATTTGGAAAAGCACAGTTTGATTAGAAATAGTCAGTATGGCGGCTTTGAGAGGAGCAGGTCGTGCCTCACAGCCTCATTGAATTCTTTGAGGATGTGACAAAACACATTGATGAAGTAGAGCAGTGTATGTGATGTATATGGATTTTAGCAAGGCGTTTGATAAGGTTCCCTATGTTAGGCTCATTCAGAAAGTAAGGAAGCATGGGATTCAGGGAAATTTGGCTGTCTGGATACAGAATTGGCTGTCCAATAGAAGACAGAGGGTGGTAGTAGATGGAAAGTTTTCAGCCTGGAGCTCGGTGACCAGTGGTCTTTCGCAGGGATCGGTTCTGGGATCTCTGCTCTTTGTGATCTTTATAAATGACTTGGATGAGGAAGTGGACGGGTGGGTTTGTAAGTTTGACGATGACACGAAGGTTGGTGGAGTTGTGGATAGCATAGAAGGCTGTTGTAGGTTGCAACAGGACATTGACAAAAAGTTTGGGCAAAAAGTGGCAGATGGAATTCAACCCGGAAAAGTGTGAAGTGATTCATTTTGGAAGGTTGAATTTGAATGCAGAATACAGGGTTAGTGGCAGGATTCTTGGCAGTGTGGAAAAACAGGGAGATCTTGGGGTCCACATCCATAGTTCCCTCAAAGTTGCCACCCAAGCTGATAGGGTTGTTAAGAAAACGTATGGTGTGATGGCTTTCATTGGCAGGGGGATTGAGTTTAAGAGTCACGAGGTTATGCTGTAGCTCTATAAAACTCTGGTTAGACCACAATTGGAATATTGTGTTCAGTTCTGGTCGCCTCATTATAGGAAGGATGTGGAAGCTTTAGAGAGGGTGCAGAGGTGATTTACCAAGATGCTGCCTGGACTGGAAGGCAGGTCTTATGAGGAAAGGTTGAGGGAGCTAGAGCTGTTCTCATTGGAGCGAAGAAGGATGAGAGGTGGCTTGATAGAGGTGTACAAGATGATGAGAGGCATGGATAGAGTGGATAGCCAGAGACTTGTTCCCAGGGCAGAAATGGCTATCACGAGGGGGCATAATTTTAAGGTGATTGGAGGGAGGTATAGAGGAGATGTCAGAGGTAGGTTTTCTACACAGAGAGTGGTGTGCATGGAATGCACTGCCATTGGTAGTAGTGGAGTCAGATACATTAGGGACATTTAAGTGACTCCTGGATAGGCACATGGATGATAGTAGAATGAAGGGTATGCAGGTTAGATTGAGCTTAGAGTAGGATATTAGGTTGGCACAACATCATGGGCCGAAGGGCCTGTACTGTGCTGTACTGTTCTATGTTCTAAGAAGAAACGATTCAACACATTATAGAAACCCACCCTCCAGACAGTGTTATCGGGCCTGCCATTAAACAAAAGAACAGTCCATTAATGCAAGATACTATCCAAGTGCAGGAAGTACAAATCATACAGGAATGTGAAGTGACCGTGAACACAGATACATGAACACCAACTAGCCACCAAGAGACATAACCAATTCTCGTTTGTCTCACTACACACGGACAATGAGGGTCATGAATTCAACTGGGACAACACATCCATAATCGCACAAGCCAAACAGAGACACACCAGGGAATTCCTGGAGGCCTGGTATTCCAACCAGAACTCCATCAACAAACACATTGAGTTAGACCTTGTGTACAAACCGCTGATAAACAAAACGGAAAGTAATACCAACCAACCCAGCAAACCGAGGCATATGAATAACAAGCGGGACAGAACACTGATGCTTCACCGGAGGCGTACTGACAATGTTACCTAACAGGGTGACAAAACGTTTGCGACCAAGCCCACCGGCTCAGTGTGCATTTCTACAACTTCATCCACAACCCAAGCTACAAACCTTCTTGAAAACTTTAAGTGAATAGTGTAGTCAAAGTGACAGATTTTTTTTCTGCATCCTTGAAAAGGGGTGTCAAAGGCAACATTGCCAGGGGTAAGGACTTTTCCTCACAGGTAGAGATGAACATGATACAGCAAGAGGAATATATTTTTCATGGCTCATGTAGGAACTGACGGAGGTGGAATTGTGAATAGTGTTTTGCTAAGGTCCAAGTTAAAAAGCAGAACCTCAAAAGGTAATAACTTCTGTATTGCTACACAGGTCTGTTGGCATGAAAACAAACATCAATAGGTTAAATGACTGGTTGAAAGAGTGGTAGTGGTTGCAATTCATGGCTGGGGTCACAGAACGTGATAGGTTGAAGGTTCAGGCAAGAGTAAATTATGAATTAAAAGTGAAAAGATAAGGCTGTAGAGCAGTGTAGCGCTTTGGATAAAATCAAGAACAGTATGTCAGGAAGAACATAAGAAATAGGAGCAGGAATGGGCCATCTGGCTCGTTGAGCCTGCTCTACCATTCAATAAGATCATGGCTGATCTTTCTGTGGACTCGGCTCCACTTACCCACCCACTCACCATAACCCTTAATTCCCTTACTAAGTATCTTTAGACAATGAGTGTTTGATAAAGGCAACAGGACATTAGGAAAAATAGTAAAACTTTGACATTAAAGGCACTACCTCTGGATAGACAAAACATTTGCCACAAGATGGATAAAGTAATAGCACAAATTAATGGATTTGATCCAGTAGCTATAATTGAAACTTGACTGCAAGGTGACTAAGGTTGGAACTAAATATTACAGGAGATTCTTAGATAGCCAGAATGGAAGGGACTGGGTAGCCCTAATAAACAAAGAATGAATAAAGACAGCAGTGAGACAGATCTTAGGCTCTGAAAATCAGAATATAGAATCAGTATGAATGAGGCTAAGGAACAGAAATGGTCAGAAAGCAGTGGTGGAAGTGGTGTACAAGTTCCCTAACAGCAAATACTATGGAGATTGAGTAGATGGAGTTTAAAAATCAACAAATTAGAAAAGCAAGTAATGCAATAATCATTACTCTGAACAGGACTTGGAAGGCCAAATTATCAGTGTAATTTCAAAGTTAAGTTTGAGCATATGGAGTATTTTCTAAAACCAACTAGGAAACAGACAGTTTAGATCTAGTTTTGGGTAATGAGGAAAGATTAGTTATTCTAGAGTAAAACATCCTCTAGGGAAGAGTAATCAGAATGATAGAACTTGAGAGGAATGTAAGGAGCCAAGTTTGAAACCAAGACCTTTATTAAAGCTACTAATTTGTGGATGAGGGAGCAAGTTGGCTAAATTAGGATCTAGATTAAATGATATGGTAGCCAATGAGCAATGACAAACATTTAAAGAAACAATTCATAATTGTGAACAAGCAAACATTCCCCTAAAAAATAAATCTCCTCAGGAAAAGTGGTTCAACAGAGAAGTTAAGGAGAGTAATAGGTTTAAAGAAAGCTTCCAATATTATCAAAAAGGATAGCAAGCCTGAGGATTGGAATTTTGTCTTTAAAAAAAGCAGTAAAGGATGACAAAGAAATATTAAAAGGAAAAAAGAAAATGAACATTAACAAGAAATACAAAAACAGAATGTAGAGGTTTCAATTAGTATGCAAAAATGAAAGACCAGCAAAATTGAAACATGACACAAACCGGAGAAATTATAGTGGTGTTAACATGTGCTATATAAAAATATTAATTTTCAATTACATCAAAATTTCAAAAAAGGGCATTTCACTGAAACAAAGTGACACAAGCTCACATTAAAATCGTTGCCAATTTACATCAGTACATAGCCACATTCCATTTTTTGGAAACATAGCGTCAGTGAAGGTCTCAACAGAGCTAATAATCCTAGTTCCAGGGACTATTCCTTTTTTTAAAAATTCATTCACGGGATGAGGGCATTGCTGGCTAGGCTGGCATTTATAACCCAAGGACAGTTAAGAGTCAACCATATTACCAGACCAGGTAAGGATGGCAGTTTCCTTCCCTAAAGGATATTAGTTAACAAGATGGGTTCTTCTGACAATTGACAATGGATTGATGGTAATCATTAGATTCTTAATTTCAGATTTTTATTGAAATCAAATACCACCATCTCCAAGGCTCCCCTGAACATTACCGGGGTCTTTGGATTAATAATCCAGCGATATTATCATGAGGTTGTCAACTTCCCTACAGGTTAACAACACATTGAGACAAACACCTAAATTCAAGTGTTGGAAGCCATACATTAAAAAACATCACATAGTCATTGTATTTTATTGCCAAAGATGTAAAAAGTGGTGTGCCCCAGCAATCAGGGCTAGAGGCTCAACTTACTACAATTCATAAAATTGACTTGAATGAGGGAACCAAAGATACACTAAATTTGCTGATGGCACAACGCTAGTCTAATACAAAGAAGCAGAATCCTTCACAGTAATCTCGGCCAGTGTGGGAACTGAACCAAACTTTGACATCATTCTGTTTCGCAAACCAGCCAAATGAGCTACGTGACCTCTTATGTCTCCAATACAAATTGATAACTCCATGCCTAACTCAGTATCTCCACTTTCAGATTCCAGCATTTGCAGTCTTCTCATGCAGTACATAAGAACAGTTGTTGAATATTAACTCTGCTTCTCTCTTGACAGATAGTGCGAGGCCTACTGAGTTTCTCCAGCACTTTAGCTTTAATTCAGAGCTATGGCATCCACAATATCTTACTTTCATCTAGAGTCTTATGGTTTCCGTAGCACAAGATGGACAGACAGTGACGGTACAATCTATCAGTGTTGTCAAATCAGTGCTGTCTTGGTGTGAGGATGTGCAAAGCGTGACAATCTAATTACAGGTAAGAAATAGTATAATTTTATAAAACCAAATTACTCAGTGCTGAAAATCTGCAGTGAAAGCAAAAAACGTTGGAAATAGCAGATCAGGCGTGAAAACGAGGATTAATGTTTCTGGTCAATAATTTTCCGTCAGTATAACGTTACCCCTACTGCATTGAAATACGTTTTTGAAATATAGTTCCATATGATATTCAGCCTAGCATTTATACAATGTACACTTTAAAACAGCAGTTTTCATCACTCACTTTCACCAAACACTCCTCGCCAGTACACTCCGGCGCTTCCCAATGACGCCACCCACCCTGGCGTCCCTTCTGAATGACGTCAACCAGCGGATTTGCATAGACGTCACATACATGATTGTTCGAAATGAGGGACCGTTACACTGACGAGCTGACACGCTCGGAGCGAACCCACGTGTTTTAATTAATGTTTAAATTATCGGGTCTGAACACTTTCTTAGAGTGATTACCGCTGTAGTCGAAGGAATATTTAAAGGCATTTAGGGCTGTGACAGGGAATATCCGCCACAATTCCGTTCAGCTGTTTTTCTCTACATTGGCGGAAACGCACCCTGAGCAACAATCGCTCAGATACAGGGTGCAAAAAGGAGTCAGTGATTGTCCCTTTCTGTGCGGAGATTGTGCTGATCGCTGTTTCCTGCCTTTTTGTTTTCTTCTTTGGGAATGCCTGAACTCCCCAGAGTGTTGTCGACGCTTATTTCCCAAAGTAGCTTTCCTAAGTATGCTTAAAGAATGAGCGTGGAGAAGTTTCTTATCTTCGGTTCCCCGCCCCCCATCCCCTGGAGTCATTTCTCTTCTTGGAACTTAGCAACGTTACCAAATATGAAAAAGCTTCACCACGCAACTGATTTTTAATATAACAAAATTAGAAATTGATGGCGAACCTCACTCGCGTCCAGTGACTGTTAATCAGAATTTTGCTGCCAGACCTGCTGTTCCAGATCTCCAGCATCCGCATTAATTCGTTTTATTTTGATTTTTAGCCTATTTAAGCAAAATCTTCTTGCCCACGGGCTAGTTGTTCTCCAAGTGTTGTTTTTGTGGAATAAAAGGAGTGAAAAGTGTAATTCTTTTATCTTTTTACAAAAGAACAGTACAATGAATATCAAAATACTCAGCTGATCGGGCGGTGTCAGTGGAGAGAAAATTTGTTAACATATCATGCTTTTTGTGGTGCAGTGGAGAAGCCCCTACCTCTGCACCAAAAATAGGCCCAGTATGGGTGCATGTCCCACTTACTCCAAAGGTATAACATGTCAAAACGAGTTGTTTGAAAAAAGCTACTTTGTCAAATCAGTGAAGACCCTTTATCGAGACTGGAGAAAGCTACCAATATAATAGGTTTTGAGCAGAGGGAGAACAGAAGGAAAGGCAGGAAGAACTAAATGGCAAAAGTTTGAGGACCACTTCATGGTCACCTGGGCCTGGCCAAGGTGGCCATCAACATTTCCAGGTAGCGGGCTGTGGAGATGATTGTAGCATCCTTCTGTTTGCATCCCCTTCCGTGGCTACATCTGCACTTAGGTGTCTGTGAAGAGGAGCATGTGAAGTCCACTGGCATGGTACAGGACTTCAGAAACTAGTGCTCTCCCCAGGCCTGGGGGCAGAAAATCGCCCCTGAAGTGACGTTTTAATTTCATTTTGGTAAGTTTCCATTATAGTTCTGTAAGATTCTACTGACTGATTTTTTTTCATTAGTGTGAATTAGGGGCTGTCTAATATGTTTAAGGTTTATTCAAACAGTAGAAAAATCAGCGTGAGAGAATTGTGGAAAACCGAAATCGCAAGTGACAAGCGGTTCAGGCCACGCTTCAGGACTGAACAAGGTATGTTCTGCAAAGCAGTCACGTGGTAGCCTCTCTGCTCCTATGATGCTGCTTGGCCTGCTGTGTTCATCCAGCCCTGCACCTTGTTGTCACGTGGTCTGCATTTGATTTCTACAATGAACGGGAAGCTACTTCATGAACAGGACATATACTAAATTGAACAAAGTACATATAAATTACTAATAAAAAAATACAGGAGATTGTCGGCAGTTAAGGAAGCATCAATGGAAAGAGAAGCTGAGTTAATATTTCAAGCTATTTTTCATTAGAATAGAGTAGAGAATACATAAAGCTGTAATATATTTTCAGTAAGGATTGAGAGGGACAAGGACAAAAGAAGGGCTGTGATAGGGTGTAAGACAGAAAAAGTGGAATGACATAAGGCTTAGTCTCACAGAGCAAAGGAAACGGTGCTGAGGCAAGAAAAGCTAATATGCCTGCAGTTGGAGTGCTGCTGTTTCACTTGTAAAGTTTTCATGGTCTTGGATGGTGTGGTGACCAATGTACTGGAAATGCCTATTTTTTTTTCTGCAAAGTCCCTTAAAGAATAAAACGTGCAGGGAAGCATTTTTAAAGAAGGCTAATTGATTTCCTGTTCATGACATTATTAGGTTCCAAGAAATGTACTTGAGACTTAAGGCTGCAATAGCGATTAACAGTAAAGATGCAAAAGTTAAACAGGAAGCTAACTGCAGTTGATGGGGTCAGCCTGGTTTTTTTTGTTTGGCAGTTCAGAAGACTGGGAATTCTGCAAGACAGCAAAAAAAAGTAGACACTCCCAAAGAAAGTTTTCTGTTTGACAGTTTTAGAACAGAACCTGGTGTTGAAGCACAGGTCTAAAATTAGAGCAGAAACTGTCTCGCTGTGTGTGATACCGTTGGAAATGACAGAACACCCAAGATGGCAAGAGCAAAGGATTTTGAATAATGTTGTTGCCTTTGAAGTGATGCCATAATCCACTAGACAGTTTAAAGGGATTGGAGAGAATATTTGGATGCTTTGGTGAAGGCATTGCTAATGGAAATTTTCTAGCATCTTATATGTCGCTTACTTCTACACAGGCCAGGTCTCACTGCTGTACAGGAGCTTGGTAACAATAACTTGGTCTGACACTAAAATGTTTGCTCACTTGTGGAGGTCTCTGTGTCAAAAGGTGATTGCAGTAGTTTGTAGAAAGCTGCACTAACATAGCTTTTCTGTGTTGGATCTCCTTATCAATGGCAGCTACTTCTCTCAAAAAGCCAACAAAGTTCTGGATGTGCTCAACTATTTCAGAGCTTTTTTCTTCAAAATGTATGGGTCTTGGAATATTTTGCTGACCAGGTGCAGATTGACAGTTCTGAAGAAGTCATACTGGACTCAAAACATTAACTCTGTTTCTCTCTCCATAGAGGGTGCCAGACTTGCCAAGAAGGCAGCAGTCCAACAGCATGCCCAAAAGTAAAGGACATGTAGTGTATATCAATAGTTTAGATTTAAATGTGGATGACATGAATAAAAGTTTGTAGATAACACAAAAAATAGCTGTGTGATTGATACTGTGGAAGAAAGATGTAGACTACAAGAAGAAACCATGGACTGGTCGGTTGGGTAGTAGCAAATGCAACTCAACCCATAAGAAGTGTGAGGCACAGTGAAATCTTGATTAGTCAAATATGAGTGACATGAAACTCCAGTTGTATCAACCATTCCCACTGGCAGAATAGCACATGCAATGGTACGATGGCTATCGATCTTATGGAGTCATACAGCATGGAAACAGACCCTTCGGTCCAACCAGTCCACACAGATCGTGTTCCCAAACTAAACTAGTCCCACCTGCCTGCGCTTGGCCCATATTCCTCCAAACCTTTCCTATTCATGAACTTATCCAAGGGTCTTTTAAACATTGTAACTGTATCTGCATCCACCACTTTCTCTGGAAGTTCATTCCACACACTAACCACTCTCTGTGTAAAAAAGTTGCCTCTCGTGTCCATTTTAAATCTTTCTCCACTCACCTTAAAAATGTGCGCCCTAGTTTTGAACTTCCCCAGCTAGGGAAATCACCCATGTCATTCACCTTATCTGTGTACGTCATGATTTTATAAACCTGAATAAGGTCAGCCCTCAACTTCCTACATTCCAGTGAAAAAGATCCCAGCCTATCCAGTCTATTTTTACATCTCAAACCCTCCATTCGGCAATGTCCTGGTAAATCTTTTCTGAACCCTGTCTAGTTTAATAATATACTTCCTATAACAGGGCAACCAGAACTACAGGCAATACTCCAAAAGAGGTCTCAAATGTCCTGTACAACCTGAACATTACGTCCCAACTCCTACACTCAAAGTTCTGAGCAATGAAGGCAAGCACGCTAAACACTTTCTTAACCACCCTGTCTCCCTATCGTGGAAATTTCAAAGAATTATGCACCTGAACCCCTAGGTCTCTCTATTCTACAACACTACCCAGTGGCCTACCGTTAATTGTATAAGTTCTGTCCTTGTTTGTATTACTGAAATGCAATACCTCGCATTTATTCAAATTAAACTCCATTTGCTACTCCTCAGTCCATTGACCGAATTGATCAAGATCTATTTGTAATCTTAGATAACCTTCTTCACTGTCCACTATACCACCAACTTTGGTAACATCTGCAAGCTTATTAACCATGCCTCCTACATTCTCATCCAAATTATTTATGTAAATGACAAACAGAAGTGGACTCAGTTACAATCCTTATGGAACTCTGCTGGTGGCAGGCCTCCAGTCTGGAAAACAACCCTCCATCACCACTCTCTGTCTCCTACTGTAAAGTCAATTTTGTAGCCAACTGGCAAGCTCACCCTGAATAACGTGATCTAACTTTACTAATTGGTATGATAAATTTAATTTCTGCACTGGTAACTCTGAATTAGCTTAACTTGGGTAAACCTGCACCAGCCAATCAGACTACACTGAGCCCACAGAAGAGTGAAAAATCATGAGTAAAGAGCAAACCATTATTTGACAAATGTACAAAATCTGCAGGAACAGCTAAGTTATGAGAAAGTTAAAAGTATTGTCGACTGGAAAGAAGGTGATAACAGCAAATGGTAAACACTGGTGCAAAGTAGAAGGTAGATATTATGAAGAATGGGACATTCCACCAGGGAGCTTGTCAATAATTCTGAAATGCATGTGTTATGTCTCACTATTCCGACTCTATGTGATAGAGCACATCGCTCTGTACCACAAATAAAGTCAACAGTAGTCAACAAGCAAGGCATTTTCCAAATTAGACTTAAAAAGTGGAACACTGTGAGCTGGAACTTCATCCTGATTTGAGGAAGATGGCAACTTTTGTGGACTTCACTGATACAAGAGATTGATTCCAAATAGCAATGTGGCGTCAGGGATTTTACCAATATGAAATCCAAAATATCCAAAGGATCCTAGCAAGAGCTAATATCCCTCATGACCTCAATATTTTCTATTGGTTCTGTGAATAAAATGAGAAGAAGTTGAGATTAGTATTGGTTAGATTGCAGTTGACAGAACTCATTGAAATCATTCCCTGGT